TAGTTACATTTTTTTTCTAATTTATTAAATAAATAAATGCTGCTGTACAATTAAAACCTTAATTATCCTATTGTTGCTAACTATTATTATAAATTTTATTAATAATTAATAATTATAACGATTCCAGGAAAATATCAAATTTTGGAATCGAATCAAAGACACTAAAATCTAATAATCCCTTTTCTTTATAATGAGTCAACAATTCAATCATTTTAACTTCATCTCCAATATCATCATAAATCACCTCCTCATCACCATTAAAAATTTCAATACGAATTGGTGCATAGCCAGTCCATTTTTTGAAAAACATTTCTAAAACATCATCTAAAAGTAAACATTTTTGTCTAAATGATAATATTTTTATTTGTTGTGGTAAAGCAGTCATCAAAGCATAAAATAAATCTTCAAAAGTTGGTAGAATATCATCAATCTTTCTCACAGAGATACCTTTTAGTTTTGTACAGGTGTTAAAAATTTTACATAAATCTTTTGCCACATAACTATCATAAATTAGTGACAAGTATTCCAAGTTTGGACAATTTTGTGCAATTGATCCAATAAATTCTTCCAAGAATTCTGGATCATTTGGGTACCCATCAAACTGAATAACTTTAAGGTTCTTGCCATTCAATTTGAAAAATTTACTCAAAGTATATACACAATCTTGTCCATCAAAATTAACATTGATTTTCTCTAGTAAATCAAATTTCAAATTCTCAATGAAAATATCATCAAAATCATTAACAAGATTATATCTATGCAGATTTAAAGATTCAAGGCTCTCAAAGTTTGATAATGCGTAATCCAGATCACAACACCCAATACTAGTATATTCCACTAAATTATTTGCGTGAAGCAGCAATGCCTCTTTGACTAATTTAGGTATGGAGTCATTGGATGTGAAACATAATAATTTCTTTATGTGTTTCTGTGCTCTAATCAATTCAACCAATCCCATATTTGATTTATAATTGTAAAATTCCAAACCAAGTATTTCTATTTTATCAGTAGTTTGTGCCAATAAATGAAACAATCTTGGACTAACATTATCATCACAAGCCAATTCTCTAAGATTTGAGAAACATTGATTAAATTTGGGTTGTTCAAGCAACAAAAAATGCTCTAAATAATGCAAGAAAATTCTTTCTATTCTGGAATTAGTCATGATAAATCTTACTAATTCTTTAAGTAACAAATACCACTTTTCTTTCTTCACCACCTCAATCTCTTCATCAATCAAATCTAGACTATTGTCATATAATGTATCTTCCATTCGTAGTTCATTAGCAAATTCTGAATAGTTGCATAGTAGTAGTTTATCATCATCCAATACTTCAAATGATAGTTTGATATTATTTTTCACAAAAAAATCTTTTGACTCCTTTGATAAACACCTGATCATTGTCTTCA